GCGATCGACATTCTTCGACGACTCGACCAGCACAACATCCTCCTTCAAGAGGAATTCCAAAAAAGAGGCATTACTCACCAATCAGCCGTTCTACCAATCCAAAAGACGACACCCAAGAGCACCTCCGAAAACATGAAATCGACCCATACAATCAGCTTCGCATCCTCGTCACAACAATCGCCTTTCTTCTCGACGACTGCCATTCACGACCATCTACAGTCCATTACCAACGACAACCCTACCCTCAACTATTTCGACGCTTCTCTACTGACACGTCTCGAACTACCATCCTTCTCCGGAAATATGCTGGAATTCCCAGAATTCTGGGCCCGCTACCGTGCACTGATCCACTGCAAAAATACTATATCTGATGCGACTAAATTTTCTCTTTTGAAAAGCTGTCTCAAAGGACGCGCCCTACACGCCATCGACGGCCTTCCAATCACCAATGAGAACTACGCGGCTGCTATTGACATTCTACTTTCCATCTACGACAACCCCTCTACCCTGCGTCATCTCATCTACACCCAGCTCCAGAGTCTACCTCAGTGCGACTCCGATGGCAAACAGCTACAAGAACTATACCTTGCAATGCTTCGACTCGTTCGTCAATATACTGCCATAACACCCGATTCACCCGAATTCGGCCTTGGTGCACTCCTCTATAACAAACTTCCACGATTCGTTAAAGCGAGGATTTACGACATAACTGGAGGACAGAAGAATCTCACCCCCTCGGAACTGATGACAATACTTGCCGACATTGTTAGAAAAGAATCTACCTTAAGGCAAATCGACGCATCGACTACATCTCATCAACTTTCATACCACATCTCCACAAAGTATGGTCGTCAGCCTCAAGCTCCACCAGAACAACAGCTCGGAAACCGAAGATATCGACCAACTCATTCACTCGACAGGTCAAGTTCTTGCCCATTTTGTAAACGGTCATCACACTCAGCAGTCTATTGTCGCACCGTCAAATCGCCACAAGAACGTCGCAACTTCGCAAAAGCAAGCAAGATGTGCCTCAAATGCCTACGACAAGGACATCAAACCATCCGATGTACACGTCCACCTTGCCACCAATGCCAATATCATCACCACCCGGCGCTGTGTTTCAAAACAGTGAGTCATGGATCCTCACTCAATAATCAGCGCAATCGGGCTCCTTCCCATTACCGTTTCCATACCACCCGCTCCCATCCCAACATCGGAGAAAACACGCATCGAACAAGAAACTCAACAACGCCCGATCTCAACATGAGTAATTCACCTCAACAAGGACCGACACATTCCCAC